CACTTACCTGCATAAGTACCACTTAAGCCATACTCAAAGGTAATCTTAGAGGAAATTTAAATTAGGGTGTTTTATGCAACCAGGCACTGAGCTGAATCTATATGCTGCTTCTAAATTCCTCTAAAATTTAAGATGGTGCTCTGAAGGGTTACAGAATCATCTCAGAGAGTTTCTGCTATATGCCCATGAATTCACATTCAAGTTCCTTGAGGATGACTGTAAATCAAACCTAGGGGTTACGTAATGGCATTCAGAATTATGTGAGCTTAGAAACATCTGCTGGGCATATTTTGCTTGCAGAATTGCTTTTACATTGTACCGGTGGAGGCCCCATATTTTTTGTGTGTAATTCGCTGTGCCAGTCACTGTACCTAAGAAAAGATAAGAAGAACAGAACATTCTTACTCAAAGTTGAGGTACTTTAAGATCTATAAGAGCAGACAATCATGTGGGAAAAAACAAACAGAGCATGCATTGCCACTTTACATCAGTTTACATCAGTTACATAGTCCATTTCATCAGCTCCACTTACCATAGAGGTGCACTTCTACAACAGAGGTGTAGTTCTACAATTACAGACTGTAGTCCATCTGTTTCTCTGCATACTTTGTTAGCCCCCTTTTACCCTGTTCTTCAGTGGTCAGGACCCCCATGGACCCTCACAGAGCAGGTAGTATTGTGGAGGATCATTCTCAGAATTGCAGTGACACTGATGTGGTAAAATTATTAACAGGAATAATGTCATGTACGTTCTGATGCACATTTAGTATATTAGTTTCTTACTTGGTTTTGTTCCATCATGTGGCACCAAAATATGCCGAAATAAACTATATGTGTGATCCACATGTTGCACTTCATATTGTAGAAAAATACTTGGATAATGATAAATGTGACAAGACGAATAAGAAATGAATGTAAATTAAGGCAAAAATAAGTAATAGTACAGTAAATAAGGTTTACAAACTAATGTATAAAGGCAGGGCAGATTAGTAATTTTATACTGGGTTGCACATAATGCATATAAAAACATTTATTGCAAATTTGATGAATTCCATAAATGTGGCTCATAACAACAACAACAACAAAAGAAGAAAACGCAGAAGTCCCGCATTAGTTTATTGTCAAGAAATATTTAAAGAACAGTTGGTGTCTTAGGGTAAAACATGTAAAGCATCATGCAACTCATTTAAAACTCAGCTGCAACAGTTGCAAACATCTCAACCTTGTAAATGAACTTTCACTGTCAAAACAGCAATAATGCATCACTTAATCTCATCGAACGGCATACTTTCAAACAATTGATTTAACTGGATCATTGGATTATTGAAGGGGGGCTTAAAGGAGAAGTGACATCCCAAAATAATAAGCCACTTTTAAACTAGTAAAATAGAGTTTCTTACACATCTAAAATAGTATAAATGCACTATACCCTGAGAAATACCAGAACTGTCAGTAACTGTAGTTATACCGTAAAACACATTTTGGTCCATACTGCCTACCTGACCCTTGGTGAATGGGGTGATAAATAATGAGGAGAAACAGATGGGCTACAACCTGTGATTGTAGAACTACGTAGTGCACCTATGCTTTAAGTGGACCTGATAAAATGGACAATGCCTGGAGATACAAGGTAGATGTAAGTAATAAAGTGGCCAGTTAGGATATGGAAGTTATGTGGTTATAGGTGATAAGAAATGTAGGCCTATATGTGGGATCATGAAGTTTAAAGGGTTAATAGGCCCACTTAATATTTCCCCAATATTTATCCATAAGTTCACAGAAATCCAAAACAATCCCTAAGAGTTAATACAGTATCCCTTCATTTTTAATTAATCCACATATGATGTAATTTCCCCATTGCTGAAATCATCTGCAGGCCTCTTCTTCTCTAACAGCCTTGAATTCCAGGCAACAATACAGGCTGGAGAAACAGAGTCACAGCAATGGAATCAGCCACTGGGGAGGGGAAGCATGTTTTAAACACAAACCAGTATTTTTTTTCCTAAAGAAATAACTTCAAAATAGAGTCCTGATGAGACGGGATTTACTGCTTTAGTTCTTTGTGTACGAGTTGTACAATCTGGCTGTCCTCAGTGATGCATTGAAACTGCACTAAATCCAGACAAGGCAGCTGGGATTGATCAAAACCCAGTACAGGCGGATCGTTAACAGATGGTCAGTGCTGAACACTGACAATTAACCTTTATTGCTGTAATTTTGGCTATTTGTTAAGATTTCCCAAGAATTCCCCAAGCTCCAATTTGATGAAAGTACCATCTTTAGCCACAAGGTGGCAGTGTCTGTTTTTGCTTACAGATACCATGGCTTATGCTTTAAAAATGCATATTAGTATAAGTATTAGTGTAAAACCTGGTAACTGGTAAACTTTTGTATACAGATATGTATTGATGTATTGACTGAAGGTGGCAATTCAACCACATAGATTTTGAGATGTTTTAATCCATTATAATCAATTTTAATAATATTCAAGAACATCTGTGCTCATTTTTTGGTCAAATAAAAGTCAAATTTTCACAGGTGTATTAGTTCAATGATCTGCATTCCAATAATGCAGGGTTGACAGACTCAACCACTAAGAGAGCCTTATTAAAAAATCTCAACAACTCTGTGGGTTTATTTGAATTATAAGTAACATTTTATTATAACCTGAACTGGCCATTGTTTATTCAAAATACACTAAAACAATCAACAAAAATGTAGGCACTCATAGCATACCTTGAAATATTACATGATTGCATGAATTCTCTTTAAAAAGGAGGTCTTTTAAACTTACTTATGTGCTGGATCTAGACACCTGGCATCTTTTCTTTGCTGCAAGTTCATTCATTCTTGAGAGCACTTTCTTAGCTGCTGAGCTGAGTGTTTATAGTGTTTTATATATATATATATATATATATATACATATTGGTTGAACTGCTGCTGAAACACAGCTAATGTGTTTGTGATGGGGATTGTAATGCAGTGCATCGTGAAACTGGCTAATATTAATAGAAAATCAAAATAATTTTGCAGGCCAGACAGGATTGTGCCGCAGGCCTGATCTGGCCCCCGGGCCTTGTGGGCGCTAATGTGTTAAATAGCTGCTCTAGTAACATTTGTTGTTAGCTGGAATGATAGGACCGTTGGGATGTCTCTGACCTTTTAATGTAATAACACTGCAACACTGCCAAACGTTGCTTTTTAAAGACTGCTATGTTTTGGAGTAACAAAAATACAGTCAAATACTATTATGCCAAGTATTAAATGGGAAATACAGATGCTTTCAGACAGATGTGCTACATGATACCATTAAGCAATTAACATCCTACCAAGCTCTGTGGCATGTAGACAAATGCAGAGCATTCCCCCCTCAAGTTTGGATTAAGAGGAAAGTGAAAGGAAGTTCATTTGTGGTACAAGTGGAAATTTTGGTCGAAAGCATGTTTAATGAGTCTGTATTCATGTGACATATAGGAAAAACAGAAGAGCAGCTGTTCCTCAAGTGACTGAGAATGTCAATGTGAGCAAGAACAGTCCATATACAGCTACACTGAGAGTGATATTACGATAGGGTTTCATTGCATAAACCCCTTGTTACAAAGACGAAAGCACGTTTGAGAGTTCAGTGGTGTAAAAACCATAAGCAACTGGCCAACAGAGATGTGGAAAACAGTGATACAGTCAGATCTATCATCCTCCACCATATTCTCCACAGGTATTGGAATGCATGTGTGGTGTACATCAAGAGAATGGCACAGGCCTGAATGCTTGATACCTATAGTGAGGGGGTCCAATGGCACTGCTATGGCGTGGTGGAATTTTACTGGAATGGTCCATTTGTCCCTTTAGAGGGAAGAGTCACTGCAAATTAATACAAAGTCATTCTGACTGATCACCTTTACCCTGTGATGAAATATGTCTATCCTGTTGGGAGTGATCTCCCTTCACAGGACAGGAGGGGTCACTGAACAGTTTGACGAGTAAATAGAAATGATGCAAATCATATGCTATGGCCTTCATAGTCAACAGGTCTTGTATACAAATGTTTCAACACCCTTGGTCAAATTACGTGTGCTGTTGATTTTCTAAGAGAGAGCAAGTTAACACATCCTCTACAGGGAACACACATATCGCTGTTGTCGGAAAAAAAAACTCATCTCCAAAATGATAGCTTTAGTAGGAAAAATTTAATTTTAATATAAGTCAATAGAACCAGACATGTCATTTTGGGCCATTTGTTTGTGTCCATTCTCCAAGACATTTACACACAATGTAAAGGGCAACAGGCATTTCCAAATTATGTCAAAAAATGAAAAACGATAACAATGGAGATACAATGTTTTCTTCCAACAGCAGCGATATTTTAATGCACAATTACTGTTTATTTGCTAAATTTAACATATTGGGAGACAAGTAAAACACCGAATGTGGCCTGTGCAAAAGTTACGGCTCATTTTTTTTTCAGATGTGAAACAAAGCAAATAGAAATTGCACACTAAAATTAGCAGAAAATATCATATTTAAGCTAGTTTCCTGTGTATTGTGTGTATTTTCACATACAAAATCAACAAAACATGTAACTTGGTAAATGGGGGGGGGGTTGTTCAAACTTTTGCATACGACTGTATTATGCACAATGGAAAGTATAATGGGCACCATAAATGCATCCAAATACATGTATTTATTTTAGGGGAATTCCAGTGATTTTTCAAAATTTCAACATTACAAAAAAAGAAAAACAGAAGACACATGCAGGTTCACTGGTCTTTCCGGAAATGTATTTGCGTAGTAAACATGGCGACCCCTGGCTCCCATCACCACCACTGTAAAGAATCAGACTCATTAAGTTTCTCTACAATTTACTAATTCACATTAAACTGCTCTCTTGCTTCTTCATCAATGACTGAATTACACAGCGATTCTAAAAAGTCAGTGGAGTTCTCCTTTTAATTCACGCACTTTTACATAGTGAATGTAATGGTTAAAATCAAAAGACACACTTGACTAATCATCCATTTATTAACAAACTGATCTGCATTTGTTTTGTAAGTGATAATATTTCAGAGAGAAACATCTTCATAATTTGTTCACAGTTTTCTAAACTCTAATACAGGAAAGTTTGCCTGCTTGAAAATTATAATCACTGTCCCTAATGATTAACCTAAACATTAACCTAAATATGCACTATTACCGCAAAGTCCACTGCTGTCCTGCTGGGGTCATCGGATATAAATAAAGGAAATACGAAGTGGAAGATCTACAACGAACATGGTTGGAAGGTGCTGTGTAGTGTGTCCTTCACCAAACACTGAGGCTGAGGCAGAACATTAGACCTTCATTCCCATGACGAAGGGAGCCAAAGAGAAACTGAGCCTGAATCCCAGATGGCCCCCTACTGGACAGCGTATGATTTGGGTAGAACTATGTCAGGTTTGAGGAGTTATTTGAGACACAACCAGGGCATGAATCTCAAATGGCTCCTTGTTGTAAAAATAATAGATTATATGTTGGTTACAGGGAGCCTCTTTGAGATCCAGCCCCCATTTAAAAATGTGGATGAACAGATATGCCTCCTCCAAACAGTCATCCTCCAAGGGGGTCAGTGCGTGCCCTTCTGGACCATCTGTGAGAAGCGGTTGGTGATGGTCAGGGTGGTGTCGATGAAGCGCTCCACGCAGCTCACCAGACACGTCTCCGTCCGCGAGTCCAGCTTGGAGCTTGGCTTATCCATGCACTTGTCCCAGCAGACGTCCGTGAAGTTGTGCACCTGTGAAATGATAATATTAATGTAGCAGCATCACTGAATAAGGGGTACCAGTTTTCAGCCACGGTAAAACCAGACAGGACGGGGACAAAAAAAAGGGCTGTGGAGGGGGTTCTGGCTTTTTTTGTGTGTGTGTGTGTGTTTTAAAGGCCCCCTTTTCATAGAAAATCTATTTTTTTCCCACTTTCTTGAAACAGAAAGAGTCTGATGTATGTAAACACTCTTAAAGTTTCAAAACATACCATTCACTATCCAGTCCATACAGTCCATTAATGGAAACTAAGCTGCAAATTTAGCTCATTTTGTTGTGATACCACAAAAACCAAAGCATTTTCTAGTTTGACATCTCATCCTGTTTACATGGAAAAAATTAGATGCAAATTAAGAGTTTTTTTTTTATTTTATTTTAACAAACTATGGGACTGTTTTCTGGCCTGTGCTGAGAAATTATTGTCTCCTACCAACACAGAATAATTCAAAATGCTAATAATTGGCCCACATAATAGGAAACACCAACAGTGCTTGTGCTATTTCTTTAACCATTTCACTTAGCATGAATGTTTAGCATTATACTAGTATTTTTTGAAGTGTTTTTGGTTTTGTTTTTTTGGGGGGATCATGACTGGTTTGTCTTTGTTTTGTTTATCTCAGATGAATACAATTAGCCGATCCAATCAAAACTGGAATGAATGAGGCACAATACCATGCAGCCAATCAGTACAAAGATCATTTACATACACCAGTCTTAAAGGCAAAGTAACAAAAACAGCCTGTTTAATTTAAAACTATAAAGAGAGGCTAAAAAACAGTTATGTAAAACGAGTTTTTATTTTATTTGCTAGGTAAACTCACCCAAACATCATAAGTGGATCTCTGGGAAAAAAACTGTAGGATATGGGTCCTTTTTTTTTTATTGTTGTTTTATTTTCGTGTTACAATGAACAGTGGAGGTTAAACTATTTAAGTTACGTAATATATTTTCTATTCTGTTTTGTTTTGGCATGGTGTAACAAACAAAAGTCATCACAAGAAAATAAACTTTTGTTTATTGACTGTTTCGTCTGTAAGAAGGTTGCATAAAACTCTCAGATCAGAGAATATGCATAGGAATTGCCTCTTGAAAGTAGCTATAACAGAGTAATAACAAGTTCCCTTTTTATCCCGAACCACAGCATAACGTAAGCTAATTCTGCCTGTGCCCACACAGGCCGTGTCTCAATTCCAACTCTACTGTACTAAATAGTGTGCAGTTGGCACAACGGGTGGTGTACTAATTTGATGTGCAGTTCAGTGGGCCACAGTATATACTGGTTGAGACACTTGACAGACACTTGACAGACAAACAGACAGACAGAGACTCCAAGAGACCAGGAGACAGAGAGACTAATAGAAAAAAAAGAGAGAAAGACAGACAGAAAAAGTCAGAGACACGCAGACAGACAGACAGGGAGGGAGGGAGGAACAGATAGAGACCTTTAGACTGAGAGTAATAGCCGTGTCCACTCACCTGAGCCTGAAACTGGGCTTTCTGTTGCTCCACGGCTAACAGTCGCTGAAGCTCTGCAGCGTCGGCTTTTTCCGACGAATTGGCGGACGGCATATCAAAACTACTGAAATCAGCCATTTTCACTGTAACGTTATAACGCAATGAAGTGCCGCACAGCGCGAAGGGTAAAGTCCGCACAGACACAGCACCATGCGATCGCAAACGACTTCTGCCGCATGAATATGACGTCACACCAGACGTAAGGGTTTGTGGAAAATAATAATAATAAAATAAAATACGTTTTTAAAATCTCGAACTCGACAAATCTGACATGAAATTATGATAATAATGTAAAAACATAACATTTAAAAATATAGTTACACGGTTGCTTTGGCCGCTCCACAGCTTTGACCTTTCCGCACATCCAGCACACCAGGTGGCAGAACCGAGGAAAAAACCGAAGCTGCTCGCGTTTAGGCTCGATCCCTATTTAAGCAGAAAGCCCTTCCTTACTTCCCTTACGTAGCTGTTTCGTGTTACGTAGCTGTATTTCAGGACATAATCCTTCGATAGGCTAGTTAACTAATTTAAAGTACAGGAAAGCACAGCTGCATTCAAACACTGAGGTTTGTCCATGCGTGCTTGAGGGACTTTCGATGCAGAAGGGAACAAGGGGGCAGGACTTCATTTAGATTGGAATCAAGCCAAATGTTTTCCCTATTCAACATGACTGTAAAACGCCAGTGGGCGCCCGCGAGCGGGTTTTAAATGAATTGGGGTGAACGGCTAAAAATGAAACGTTAAATATTTTCTGACCACCTTTCCAGGACCTTCCTTTAATTCGGGAAAGTAGAGGGACGTATTACACTAACAAGCAAATTAAACTTATCTGTATGTTTCCTTTTTTCTACAACAAACAAGCTTTGAGCGATAGGACGTTAGCGTTACTGCTACTGAGTGCTGATTGGTTGGCGAGCGGAGCAGCTCATTGGTTGAGAGAAGCAGTTTGTGCTGATATCAGAGAACTCGTAGAGAGGAGAATTACCACTCTGCAATGTCTTCCGGGTTTCTCACACGCTAGAGGGCGCTCCCGAGTGAGTCCAAAATGAATGGGTTAATATGGAGCATTTGATCAAAGTCATAGTTTATAAATGCTTAAACATTTTAATGTAAAAGAATGCAATCATTTCCTGAACACTGAATATCATAAAACATTTTAACACCGCTGTTATATTTTTAAGAGCTTTTAAACTCGAGTTATAGGAGTTTAAAACGGCGCCTCATGTATGTTCATGATGTCAGTGAGCACGAGCAACCAATGAGCTGCCATTCAGTCATCACGCTCTAGCACTAATGCCTGCCTTCTGCTGTTTGCAGTAGAAAAAAGGAAACATACAGGTAAGATTTCTTTGTTTTTTTAGTGAAATACATCCTTCTACTTTCTAAAATTAAAGAAATGGTCTGTGCGAGTGATTAGAAACTATTTTAACTTTTCGTTTTTAGCCATTGAGTGCCATTTACTCCTATTCATTGAGGACGCACTCGCGGGCGCCCTCTGCTGTTTAGCAGTCCTGTTTTTGATATAACGGGGGGAATAGGAAGTGGCCAGGCTCCTCATAAACCGGCTCTGCTGATATCATGAACGTACATAAGGCACCAGTTCAGAAGTGCTCAAAAATATAACACCACTGTTCAAATGAATGCTTTAGGAAATTTCAAAAACCGTGATGAGAAGTTTTTAAATAGTTTTAATATGAACAGAATCTAGCTAAAGCGTCTCTGCATTTTCTCCAGTTTGTGTTCTCATTCTTGAACTTGTTGGAGCAACAGTGATCATGTAGTTAAATTAGCAAGCTAGCAAACCTCCAGCACCAATACTGTGCTCCCTTCAGTTTTTCAAAAGCCTCAAAGAAATACCTGTTTTCATAAAAAGCGCTGCTGATCTCTCAGAAGTCTAATGAGACTGCTGTGTCAAGTGTTTACACAGCCTATCAGTATCACTGATGTTATTTATTATTGACTGGCTCTTTGAGGAGTTCAGACCAACAAAGATTTTTTCTTTTTAGCACCTATTCACAAACACTCTCCTGCGTTGCCATTTCGACAGGCTGCTAATCATATACCTCCACGTCACACTCTTATTGGTAAAAAAATCTGTACTATCTAGGTTCATGTCTCTGTATCTCTCTAGCCTTTGGAGCTCCTGCTTTACCCCAAATAATTCAGAGATCATTATTATATGTTTTCAGTAGGTCCAGGTAGGTGTTTAGTTGGATGGCCAGGACCAGTACAAATGGTTGATTCCATTCACTTTTGAATGCATTGAGTTACAGTTTGAATGCATGTTATAAGAATATTATTGAACAATATTAACAATATTAAAAAATATTGATTTTAGGTAAATATACACTCATTCTAAAATGAAAACGTGAATGAATGACGCCTGCAACATGTTCCAAAAATATTGGGAGAGGGACAGATTAAGATTAACAATGAAAGATATATACACACATTAGAGCAACATATGCTGCTTTTTAGACACTGTCTTTTTCATGGCTGCGTAATCAGAGAGTGCAGGTGTTAGATTGGCCTGCCTGCCTTCTATTTTAAAACATGTAGCACATTGTTAGGTGCAAAATACAACTAAGTTCCCATATGATTCCTCAGCTGAAGACTATAAATTGCCAAAAAAAATGGAGTTATAGGTGTCTTCAATCTCTGAACGGTTTTGTCATATACTTTATTGGTACATAACATTCAATTTTTAATCCATTCCATTTCCACCATTACCAGAAAAAAAAAACATTTCTTTAAGTTTGCTGCAGAGGTTTTGTTTACTCCTTTAAACCTGAGGAATGTTGTGGACCCCTATGTGGTCAGCTGTGGCCTCCTGACCCTTTCAACAGTGATGATGAAGACATACACATGCACTGTGATGTACAACAGTGAACAAGTCTTGCCAAAGACCTAAAGAAAAGGTTTTAAACATTTTTTACATTAATTTGTTACCCTGACCACTAGAAACTGCATGTTTATGAATGTAATTTCATAAAAATACTGATCCTATGAATGATTTTTTTTATTTCAAATTAGTTTGAAGCCCTTGATTTGTTTATTAATGATTACATTAGAAACAATGGAGCCAGAAGTTCCTATTTTGGCTTACAATAGAGTAACAGACTAGATAGATATAAGTGCTCTTCTTTGGTGATCGGCAGTATCAAAAGCTGCACTAAGATCCAATAAGACCAGCATAGAAGGATGTTGTGCTGCATTACTAAGCCTGAGGGGTCATTCACAACACGAACCAATGCTGACTCAGTACTATAGATGTTAGAAGAAAAACCTGATTAAAACTTCTTTTATATATATATATATATATATATATATATATATATATATATATATATATATATATATATATCACAGACAACATTTTTCAAGACTTTACTTAAAAAAAGAAATTATTGAGTGTGGAAGGATCCATGCTACTCTTCTTTAGTAGTGGTTTCACCAGGGCAGTTTTTCAAAACAAATGTTTTTTGCAAAGCATCTTATTGAAAGGGCATGTGTGAAATAACATATACAGCACTGTGCTGTGTAAAAGTCAGAGACCAAAATGGCTGTTCATGTTTCAGGAAACATACATTTAACAGATGATTACCCAGTGTCAGTTACTGAATATGATATCCAAATCTTCAGCATTCAGCACCCTTTGCTTGTATTACAGCTCTCATTCTTTCCCAGAGACTTGCTTTTAGTTTTTCAAGGAACTCTATCTAGAGATATTTCTCCACAACGCCAAAGCTCAGTCTTAGAAGTTGGTTGTATTTTTGGCTTCTCGTGATCCAAGTAATCTCAAATGCATTCACTTGATTTTCTCCTCTCTCTCAAAGATGAAAGCTTCAAGCCACTGTTTATCTGATGGGGACTGTTTTGGTGGTCTACCAGGTCTTGCACAGTTGAAAGGAGCTTCTCTTTATGTCTTAATAATTTTTTGATCTCACTTTTGGAAACTCCTATTTAAACTTACTTCCTTTTACCTTCCCACTTCCTTACTGAAGCAGATTATTTTATAATCTCCTGAGAAATGTAAACTTGCACTTATTGGCTGATTTGACTGGAATTTAAACACAATAAGAGTGGGCACTTTGATTTGTAGATGCTGGTATTTTGCTGTGAACCCCACTAGGAGGTGCTGTAGTCTGATACTTCACTGACATTAAAAATACAGCTGTACATTCTTACACCAGCTGCAGTGCGATGTGTTTTTGTCATGCTATCACTATGATAATATGATCCTGTATTATATAGTGATTTCATTAAGACTTAATAGACTAAGCGTTCTGTGAATGTGAAGACAAGCACACAAGGCTAGAGATGCCTCCCTGGTAAATCCTGCATCATTTGTCATCTCATTTTAACAGAATGTATAACTACTAGGTCAGATCACTTTGTTTTTGCATTTTTCAACAGCTGAATTTTTTACTCCAAGTGCACTAAAAACTGTGTAATTTAAAGTGCAATTAAAACTCAAGTTTGTGTTGATTCATAATTATGGCATAAGAAAAATGACAGCAAAACAGAAACTGAAAAGTGTCACTTTTGTTTATGTTGTTTAGGATGATAATAACAATATTATAAAAGCTGTTTTAATGTGCAAATGTTCTCATCAAAATTCCTGGCAAGGTGTAATTCTGCTGACAGCTCCAAATCTCATAATACACATCAATCTCCTTCAAGATTTCACTGAAAATGCTGGCTCATTCTAGCAAATGATCGCTATAGCTAGCATTTAAAACTAATGCTAGCTAACCAGTGAATCTACAGTAAACAACTATGTGCTTTACAATGAAAATCTGTCTAAATATTTTGGGTTTAGTATTTTTGTCAGGGGGACCAAAAAGTGTAACTTTACATTTTTACTAATAGCCCATACTGATTATTTTCACCAGTAGCTGATACCGATTGAGGGTGGGGCTGGATGCTACATTCAAAGACCCAGTAAGTGATTCTTGAGAACGACTGTTGATATTTGAACTCGAGAGAAAAACAAATACACCCCTCACTTCAGAAGCTCCAACCCCTAAAGTCATGGACCCATGATGCCAAAACATTTTTTTAGATCTTTATGGCCATAAAACTCTTCGCAAACATTGTAAAAAAGTTAGCAAACTGTGGCTACAATGGCTACTGTGAAGCTAATCAGCTGGGATTAGCCACCACAAACAACGGGAAAAAACAATAATGAGCTGTTGGTTCTGAAACAGCAAAAATGAGTTACGTTACCCACTTGTCATGCAGAAACAGAGCAACCTCCTCATCCCTTACCATGCCTTTCAACTCTCGATGAAGCTGAAGTCAGCATCTTTTTCATCAGCTTCTTGTTTTTTTTTTTTTCTGTTCCACCTTAAATGGTGCAGCAGTTACATTCTGGTGCCTCAGGAGGGCATAGCCATTGAAATAACTGCCCCAGCTAACAGGACAAAACAGTCCTCCTGTTTCATGGATGGATTTCTAAATATGGGATAAAAAGGGCTGACATGCGATCACTTTTGCATTTCTGCATCTTATTTTTATTTTCAGCCCCTGCCAATGACATAGCTCATGACGCTAGTACAGTGTAAGATAGGCTAATCTTAGCGCTTGGATGTTAACATGCTAACAGAAATGAATCCTCAAAGCTTTGACAGCAAACCGTGTTAATTACAGCTCTACACATTCACACAAGCGAGTTTACAAAGTACAGAGTAATAGGAGCCAAATATGTAATATACTTCAGGAAAAAATGTTTTTCTTCAGTGAAATAGATATGACGAGGCTGAGGTTGGCTTCCTATTCGCCAGCTTCTCGTTCGACCATTCCGCCTTAAATGATGCAGCTGTTACATTCTGGCGCTTCAAATGGCTCATATGTTTTACATTACTGATCAGATAAGTTAGAGAGATATTGGCCAATCGCCGATTGCAGCTGATCGATTCTTCCATCTCTATGCTTCGGTGCTATTGTATTCCCATAAATATCAACAATCATTCTCAAGAATCACTTACTGCGTCTTTGAATGTAGCATCCAGCCCCAGTGTTTGCTAAAGTGTTGCTAACTGGTTGCTATGGTATTTCATTCCTAAGGTTTTGCTAGGTGATTGCTATGGTGTTCCAGGTGGTTGCTAGAGTCTTACTTATTGGTTGATTTAAGATCCCATGTAGTTGCAACACAATAACTGGTGGTTGCTAGTGTTGCTATGTGTTTGCTATGGTATCTCTGGTGGTTGCTGAGGTGTTGCCAGGTGATTGTAAGTTTGAATACCCCTGGTCAAAGTACATGTTTAGTTGATTTGAAGTAAAAACAAACATTATCAAACATTGCAATAAAATGTAATCTGATCATCAGTGCCCACATTTTTGATATGACTGTATGTACCAAATTTGAAATATCCTGTAGTTCTGTATCTTATTTATGTATATATTTATATTTTAGGTGTCCATGGTGCTAAATGGTTTGATGTAAGCATAATAAACGTTGTGCCAATCAGAATAGAGCTAATTTACATACATCAGTCTTAAAAACACAGTAACAAACAGACTGTTTAATTGGTTTAACGCATACAGTCACACAAATATTAGAAGTTGACCTAAGAAGGATGGAATAAAAAGGAAAAAGAGTACTGGCCCTTTAGGTTCATAAGCACCCAGCACAGTGTATGGGCCATAAACTCTTGTATGAGAGAACGAGGTGTGCTCGGGTCATTGAGAGTTCACAAGCACGTGGTTGTTTGGAGTCAGTAGGAATTTCAAGATGAATCTCCTGTAAAAACAATAGCTATATGATTTATGAAGGTGACACGTGAAAGCAGATCCTCATTAACTTGTGTCATGCTTAGTTGTACTATCATGTTCTTCATCTGAGGCCTGCTAACCATCTGAAAAGGAAGAAAATCTGTCACTGTCAATCTCAGACTGGAACCTGATCACTCAGGTGCCAGAACGTTCGACAGCTTGTAAGGTCACTAAACTTAAATCTGCACTATGTAAGAAACACATAGCATTTCTGAGTCAGGAGAAAAAACATGCTAAAATTTGATGACCCCATATTTTTCATAGTAAAGCGTCAATCAATCAAAACCACAGTATCTCATTCTTATAATAGAGTTACTGCTGATGTTTGCTGATCCGTACAAACACCATATTTGATGTTTTTTTGTAAATATATGCTCGCTGTTGGATTTTTCGCTGATGCATTTTTTGGCAAAGTTGCGAGCCTAACCACATCCTTGCTCATAAAAGACTATGCCTTTTCTGGATGCTTCATTTACACCCAATCCTGACTACATCATCTCTTTTAAAATGTGTTCTGAACATTGAACAGTATTTTTAATCTTAAATTGGCCCCGTCCTAACTTTTTGGGAATGTGTTACACGCATCAATTTCAGAAGGAATGTATATTGTGGTGGCTGCTACTTGCTCCACTTCACAGAAGGAGCTCTGGAGGCGTGGTATGCAGAGTTACACCGTGTATCGCCCCCCGCCCCCCGCCGTGCCAAAGGGATGTTAAATGTTCTTGTTTATTGTTGTTGTCTGTTAATTTGAGACGTGTGCATGTGTTATTTATACTATTTTGTGTAGGGCTGAGGCTTAGTTAGAGCAGGTTGAGTGTTTACCATAGAGTGGAAATCCTGGCCTCTCCCATGTCTCTTTCTTTGCCAAGATGCTACATTTGGTGTCACAAATGGGATAGAGCCCACCCTGTGGCAGAGAGTAGAATGATACTTTGAAGAACTTTAGGGTGGACAGCGAGGAAGGCAGAGCCCGGTAAAAGAACACAATTGCACTTCTCATAGCAGAAGTCACGGCCTCTCCCATATCTCCTTCTTCACCAAGACGCTACAATATTTACTAAAAACAATGAAGTTGATGAGTTAAAACACTGCATATTTTGCCTTTGTACTGCTGTATATTTAAAAAAGTCAAAGAGGATTTACAGATCACTGCTTCCTGGTTTATTTGCATTTCAAACAATGTCCCAGCTTTTTTGTAATTAGGTTTGTAAACCCAGAAATATACAAAGAGCGGTACCTCAGTGAAAGTAAGGGTAATATTTCTCAATTAAATGTGTTTGGAGCCAAAAATATACTTAAATGAAAGTAAAACGCATCCACATTTAAACATCTTTTACCAATCAAAAGTTTGCACACAAGTATTTTCATTAGTATTTTTATTTTGGTCCACATTTTAGAATATAGGCAGGCATCAAAACCTTGGTCATTGTCTCAAGCAGCTTCATGTGAGCCAGCTGTGGTCATTTTTCAGCAGGACTAAGGAAGTTTCACATACTCTGAGACCTTGTTGCAAATCACTTATGCTTATAGGGGGAGACATTTTTAATTTTTTGAATTCAAATTTTAAATTTTTGTTTGGAAGTAATTTTGTATGTAGGCATCAATAAAACTCTTGAGAAACAGCAGAAGTAAAACAAATGAGTTATACTCAACTACTGCAGCCTTTTGTTTTATGTCAATTAACACATCGTCGCTGTTCAAAAAGAGATTTCTCTGTTTTTTTCTTGATTTTTATTTTTCTACATCATTTGAACGCAGCAGCCGTGGGCCAATGGAAAATCACTCGGAATAAAACTTCCTTACACTAACTTATATAAAAATGCTAAGCACGTTTTTGCCCACTCCTGTAAGGTCCTGTAATTGGAGATCCTTGTTTTTCTTTGGACAGTGACAATATTGCTGTCTTGTCTCTAAAGATAAATGAGGGTTATATAAGTTTCTGATCAATCTTATAGGCTTATCAGAATGTGCAATAAATGCAGTACATGTTTGTTTAGCAGCACTGATTTTAGTTCATTGACCATAACACTGTCCTAACCCCAGATGAGGACATGTAGGTGTTTTTGACACAGTGAACGCCACCCTGAGGCCAGTGGAAGTCAATTCAATAAGCTGCCTTGACCTAAATACCTCTGAACAGCAGAGCAAAGCTGCGGTTTTGTTTTACAATCAGGAAGTGCACTGGTTCTGTACGCATGCACAGTGGCACAAACACCTCAGACACAAAGTCCGACTTGCATTTACTGTTTTCCTTTCGTCCACCACACATACATATCGGCGTTTTAGCTGCACAAAACCATGAAAGGTAAGCATGTTTTCAGTTTTTTTTCAGTCTCCCTCCAGTAGTTTTCTAGCCTGTGCTTGCAGCTTTAATTAAGCTTTAATCAGATCTTTTTTGCATATTCACATAAAGTCATTTATCTCATTGGTGACTGCTGATCTATTTGCTTATGTATTCATTTATTTAATAAGTATTTAATAGGAACAGATACATCAGCATAGAAAAGGACAGAGATTTCTGATGCCAAGTATCATAACATTTCTAGTGATACACTAGACAGGCTTTTATTATGGAAAACCAAATTATTCAGTTTAGTATGCAATCATTATAAAAGTTTCAAAACATACTCCCAGTCCCCAGTCCAAACAGTCCATATATGGGCACTTAACCGCAAAAAAAACAGCTCATTTTGACTTCACTGTTTTTGTGATGTCACAATGCATGTTCATATATCTGCTCATTCAGCCTACAGCAGCTTAGCTCCACCCATTCATGTTGAAGTTATAAGGAGTGTTTCAGTCCGGACTGCTTTTTGAATAAGGTACAATACAGGGCAGCTGATCAGAACAGACATTTACATGTATCAGTCTTTCACATTAACAAAAACAACCCGTGTAATTTTAATGGATAACTTGTGTGCATGAAGCCAAACAACAAAAATACAAGAAAATATGAGATCTGGGCCTTTAAAGTCAGTGTTTATGAGAGGGTGGTGGGAGGACGAGGTGAAACATGATATCATTGGTTAATATTATTTCTGCCCACCTGCAGCAACACTATTGCTGTCTGTTGTCTCTAGAGATAAAGTGAGGGTCATACACGGTTTTAGACCCCTGTCCACTGACACCTCTGATCAATCATGTAGGCTTATCAGTGTGCAATGTGTCAATGCATGTTTGTTCAGCAGCACTGATTTCAGTTCATTGACCACTACATAAAAGTTGTTTTGAATGATATCAAATATAAATGCAAATTGTGCCATAACTTTTGCACAGCCCACATTTTATGTTTTATTTTCTTCTCAATACGTTAAAATCAGCAAATAAACAGTAATTGCATATTATAACGTGCAGAAGTGTGTTCTCTGCAGAGGATGTGTTCATTTATTTTGACTGAGAAAAGCAACATGACAAAATTTTGGGGGTGCCAAAATTTTGCATACGACTGTACATTGGGGCTTATATTGTTACAAATGCAGCCATTTTCAACATGCATTTCTGTGATATGATCATTTATTAATAGTCCTTATTTCTGCTATTTCCCATTTCTGTCATCACATTCATATAGTGGCCAACAAGACCATAAGAAATCAAGGAGGAGCTGCAAAGTCAGAAAACACTTTCATCATAATGACTACAACAGCACTACATATCCAAATGTGCTGCAAATACAGAAAACATATGCAACTTCAGAAATGCCAGTCACAACACCACAGACACATTTCTAGAATGGCTCCATCCTCTCCATAAAGAGGATGGAGCCATTCAAACTCTTGAATTCAGGGTATTTGAACAGATAACTAATATCACTGTATTGTAATAGGAATTAGCTGTAGATTGTACTGTAACTGCCATAAGCTTAATGTAATGACAGTCTGCAGTCTTATCAACTTCTGTCAGTGATTCTCCATCACAGATATTCTATCCCCATTTAAAACCTTCCAGAAACATGTCCGTTGTGCTGTGGCTCACTTTTGTTGTGTTGTGACTGGTTTTGCAGCATTGCTGAATTTGTATGAGTTTGCAGGGCATTTGTGAAATATAGTTCAGGTGTAGTCATTTCGTAAACAGTGGTGGATGAAGTACACAAATCATGTACTTAAAGTAGACATACCCAAGGTAAAATATTACTCCAGTAAAACTAGAAGTTCCTCCCTTTAGACCTCCACTTGAGTAAAAGTACAAAAGTATTTGCCTTCAAATGTACTTAAGTATTAAAAGTAAAAGTATTAAAAGATTAATTATGACTTTAATGTCCTATTACCATTTTTGTAACAAGACTCTTGCTTAATCAACTAATTTTAGGTGAAAATACTCTAATGTCACTCTTGGTAAACCAATCTTTTAATAGAATGTCATTAATTAGTGACGCTGATGTCTATTAAAATTATCATAAGCACAAAACACTGAAGGCAAACAATTTCCTTTGGGTAAAACCAAGCGGCTAAGTGAAATAACTTTTTGCAAACAAGCAATGTTTCAGGTTAAAATTTATTTGCAACTTAGTTACAAGTTTAAGTTTAATAAAAACTTTAAAAGCAGATTCACAAATGAGTTTTCCTTTACTATATTGCATCTGTAGGTCTCTGTTCATAAACATAAACTAGCCAAAACAAATTTAATATAAAACGAAATAGTGTTTATATAAATTCAGAAAAAAAGAAATATGCCAGTCACAACTGCATATGTGTACAATTTCTATATTGTGTCTATTTACACAAAGTTTGGTTAGAGTCAGAAGTTTCTTCCATCATTTATGTTGGCATATGCACTCCCAAAATGGGTAGGTGTGTCCAACAGGTCAAAACAAGCTCAAAACAAAGTGCGCGCTGTGCCCTGATTGGTGTTCTTGCTTTGTGCTTCTTTCGTTTTGACACATTTTATATTTGTTTATATTTGTTATGTTTTATACACGCATAAACCAAAAGTAACAACAGATTTCTCATAATGTAGTGGTAAAAAGTAAGATATTTGACTTTGAAATGTAGTGGAGTGAAAGTAAAAAGTCGCCCAAAATGGAAATACTTCAGTAAAGTACAGATACACAAAAAAACTACTTAAGTACAATTACATTTACTACGTTATTCTCCACCACTGTTCGTAAAAGTGTTTTCTACGTTTTCAGCATGTTTGTTAATTGTAGCTGAGCTGTAATCATGTGGATGAAAGTGTTTTCTGAATTTGCATCACCTTTATGAGTCTGCAATGCAGATTTCATTGCACCGTTCGTTCTTGACGGTCACCATACATCCATCATTACTGAGGTACTTTGCCAAAATATTTATAGCAGCATACAGATCAGAGTAAAAGTTTCAGTGAAACCCTTGTAATAGGCAATAAAATTTAATCTCTATACTGAATGTGTATAAGAAAATACAACCCTGTTTCCAAAAATGATGGGACGCTGTGCAAAATGTAAATAAAAACAAAATGCAATGATGAAACCTTAAATTGATTGATGATTAAACCTTATATTTCATTGAAAATAGTACAAAGACAACATACCAAATGTTTACCACTGTGTTGCAGCACCTCCTCTTTTAACAACACTCTGTAAGTGTTGTTAAAATATTATTTACTGTGATTTAATACTGACTGTACTATGAAGCATTAGACATCGTGACAAACTATAGGTGAACTGTGTTCACTTACTTTTACATTTCCACTGCTAGGCTAATGTTAGTTAGCATCTGCAACTTGAAAGATGATCATTCAACAGCTAAGATTAGCTAAATGCTTCATTTTCCAAAATATATATTTCACACAGCTCGACACAGGACAATAGAAGTGTGTGTTACATGAATAAATATGACCAGCAACGTCCATAAGGGTGGACATGTCAGCGCAACCCTCTCTGGCAGCACTACACTCAGTACAAAGTGCCCCGCCATGTTCGAGGAAGAACACAGCTGTCTGAGTGGCCGTGGCTACACGTTCAGAAGATATGTCACTCTAAATCAGTTGACCAGTAGAAAGTGCATGTGAACGTCCTGTTCTAAGACCCTGTTAAAAATTGACAAAAGTCAGAAGCACAAGAAAAATTTCAGCGAAGGCAAAAAAGGCATTAGTAAAATCAGCAAATACAAAGAAATGAAAGCAATGAGTATAGAAATGAGTATTAAACTTATATTAGAATGTTTGAAAATGAATAGACATCTTTTTGAAAAATTAAGTTTGATTTAAATCTCATTATTTGGCACAAAATTAACTCCATAGCAATGTATTTAAAATGTATTTCAAATGTATAAAAAAAAAAACGTGCATACATTAATTTCCTGTCAAAACAGCCACTAAGTACAAGTTGCTGTCAGGATATATGGACAAAAGTATTGGGACACCTGCATATTACACCCACAAAAGCTTTTATGACATCCCATTCTAAATCCATAGGTAATAAAATAGAGTTGATCCCCCTTTACAGCTATAACAGCTTCTACTCTTCTGGGAAGCTTTCTACAAGATTGTGGAGTGGGTCTGTGGGAATTTGTCTGTGGCCCATTCATCCAGAAGAGCATTTGTGAGGTCAGACACTGATATTGGATGAGAGGGCCTGGCTCATAATCTCTGTTATAGTTCATCACAAAGGTGTTTGATGGGGTTGAGGTCAGGGGTCTGTGTGGGCCAGTCAAGTTCTTCCACACCAAACTCATCCAGCCGTGCCTTTATGGGCCTTGCTTTGTGCACTGGGGCTCAGTCATGCAGAAAAGGGCCTTCACCAAACTGTTCTCACAAAGTTGCATTCAATTGTCCAAAGCATTAAGCATTAAGATTTTCCTTCACTGGAACTAAGGGGTCTAGGCCAACCCCTAAAAAAAAAACAAGCCCATATCATTATCCCTCCTCCTTACAGTTGGCACAATGCAGGCAGGCAGGTAATGTTCTCCTGGCATTCGCCAAACCCAGACTCGTCCATCAGACTGCCAGATAGAGAAGTGTGATTCATCAATCCACAGAATGCATTTCCACTGCTCCAGTGGAGTCCAGTGGCGGCACTTTACATCACTCCATCCCACACTTGTCATTGCGTGGTGATGTAAGTCTTGCATGCAGCTGCTCAGCCATGGAAACACATGCCATGAAGCTCCCAGTGCAGTTTTTCTGCTGATGTTGCTTCCAGAGGAGGTTTGGAACTCTGCAGATATTGAGATTATCAGCAGAGCGTTGGTGGCTTTTATGCACTATATGCCTCAGCACTCAGCAACCTGCTCTGTAACTTTACATGGTCTGACACTTCATGGTTGAGTTGCTGTGGTTCCTAAATGCTTCTACTTTTCAATAATACCACTCACAGTTGATTGTGGAATATCTAGGAGGGAAAAAAATGTTGTGAACTGACTTGTTGCAATGGCGGCATCCATTACAGTACAACACTCTAATTCAGTGAGCTCTGTAGAATGACCCAGTCTTTCAGAAATGTTTGAAAAAGCAGACTTTAGACTTTAGATAGGTGCTTGCTGCTAGGGGCTTGATTTTCTACACCTGTGGCAATGGGACTGAATGATAAAGTGCGTCCCAATACTTCGGTCCATACACTGTATATCTGAGGAGATCAGATATAAAATGATTCACTTGCATAAGGAAGGGCAAAGTCAAAGGTGAAAAGTTGAAATACAGAGTTAAAAAGAGTTTGAAAAATCATTAAAAAACATTGAGAATATGGGACTCCATGCAAGACCTGGCAGTCCACCTTAAACAGTGCAGGAGTGACACTTAAATAGTCTAGCAGTTGTACAGGACATGAGACTGAAAAGCTAACTTCAGCTTCATCTAATCTCTATCTACCATATGACAAACAGTTACTATCACCACTTGAGACAGGGGCCACTGGTTTAACCTCTAAATTACTACAGACAAACACTTTGATGTACCATTTATATTTGTTTGAATGTTCTTGTCAAGTCAAATTTATTTGTATAGCACTTTTTACAACTGATGTTGTCACAAAGCAGCTTCACAGAAATCCATTAAAGACAAAGTTTTAACATGAAATGTAAATCCTCCAAGTGAGCAAGCCAGGGGCGACAGTGGCAAGGAAAAACTCCCTCAGAGCTGAGGAAGAAACCTTGGGAGGAACCAAGGCTCACATGGGGGGACCCATCCTCCTCTGGTCAAACTACCTACAAAATTATTATACTACTAATATTAATAGTAGTAGTAGTAGTAGTAATAGTAGTAGTAGTTAGGAGTCCATGAAAACTTCAGTGTAGAGTGGGAGTGGGCAGCTAGTCCAAGTCAAGTGGCGGTAGCTGGGCAAGTGGCGGCGACTGGGGCGTGGGCAACTGGTCTGAAGCGGATAGCAGGAGAGCTCCGCACAATGTTCTTGTGCTTGTATGTGTGAGTTTATACATTAACACACCTGGAATTCTCCCGACTCTCCCCATTACCTACTTCGTTGTGTTTCTGTCCATCCATCCACTATGAGAAGACAACTCTTTGAATCTGAAAGAATGTGTAGCTGTCAAGAAGCTGTTACCGGGAAAAGGAAATAGACGAAAAAGAAATATTTGCAAATCAAACAAAGAAGCCGCTGGTGATCTCAGAACAATGGACTGACCACCCCAAAGTCCAGACCACAACATCACAGAATATGTTTGGGATTACATGAATCGTGAGAAGCAGAAAATGCAACCAACTTCTAAGACTAAATTTTGGAGGTGTGGAAAGGTATGAAAGTAAGTCTCCTGAGAAGAATGGAAGAAAAAGAAAAGAGTGGACACACTAAATAGTGCTCTTGTGGTGTCCCACCACTGGTTTGCGCTGCCTCTGAAGTTTGGAAGGCGTGGCCATGCAAAGGGCCACGTGAAGAGGCTCGTGGGCAGCAGGATCTCCTTGTAAAAAGGGACTTTAATGAGGTCAATGTTGCTATTGATTTATTTGTTTTATTGAGTCATGTCATGAGTTAATTTAGGTGAGCTGGTGGTTGCCATGAAGGGAGCACTATGGGTAGTGGTGACCTCCCCTGCAAGTTTGCCTGTATGTATGTGCCTTTCTGCTGGCGTTTCATTAAAAGAGAACTACTTTCAGCAGAATCCTGTCTCTTTCTACACCGACACCAAAATATTATATTTAGTTGTTGGGGCTTCAGTGTAATTTTCTAATTAAAAAACTACATAAATTGACTCTAAATTCAATAAATGAAGAGAGGTCTCTGATTTTTGCACAGTAGTGTACACGAGTTTTGAATAGAATAAAGTAAAGAATCCAGGAACATTTATTCAAATATAGGTTTTAATTATAGCAAACCAAAAAAAGTAGTTCCAGCTACTTTGAATAAAGCGACTGTCGTTGTTAGTTGGCAACCGGTGGTCAGAGGCACAGTAAATAAAACATGCTGTTATCAAACATGACAATTTGAGTAGGACACTTTAACCAATCAGATTGTGTGTGATATCTCTCTCTTTTCATCCTACCTTTCATGTATGCTATCGCCTTAATTATGAAACAGCAACATAACACCATGAAAGATAAGCTGGATGATTTCCTGTCAAAACATTCCATAGTTTGTTAGTTTGAGCTATGAAATGTGTTTTTGTTTCAATGACTTAGCCCTGAACATCACAGTGTTAGTGTTGATGAGTGGATACTATCTTAGGCATGCAAACTGGACACTTCACTAGAAAAACAAAACGCCTTACTGGTACTCCTTGTATGTGGACCCTTAGAGTCTATAGCTCATATTTTTCCAAGCACAATTCGTGTTAGCCGTCCTCTAGCCCACATGTGTCAGGCTCCAGTCCTTGCGGGCCAGAACACTGCAGACTTCAGCACATTGCCTCCTTAAACACACCTGATCAGCTAATTAGCAAGGCCTTCATGAACTGAATTCAAAGCATTAGTTGGGGGGTAAATGCTAATCTCTGCAGCACTTTGGCCCAGAAGGTCCCCTGTTTCACATGCCTGCTCTAGCCCTTCATCAGTGGCCAGTTTCTGACCGCAGGTCCATTGTTGGCTGGATATTTTTGGTTGGTGGCCTATTGTCAACCCAGCAGTGACATTGAGGTTTTTAACCCTTTGAATCGCATGTTTATATTCAGTTTATGGTTTATTATTTAATAACTACTATTAAACAAATATGTAAACTACGTCCTCATAGGAGTAAAGATTGCAGTATGTGTGCGGCCAAATAATGTTATTATTAATAAGGGACTCAGTATTGCTCTCACCATCCCCCACTTAGCCCAGCCCCCTACCCTGGCCTTAGACAGCATATGTTGCTCCCAAATGCGTATATACAGAAGTGCAGGTTACCCATGCCATGGTTACTAATGTACCCCCATACTTCGGCAGACCCTGGCTATTAAACTTTACACTAGTAACAATCTGGATGGCCTATTTCTTTCTTGTTCCGCTTATTATTTCCATAAATAATCTGAAATTTTGACTCATCAATACACATTTTGACTTTGCATCAGTCTATTTCAGATGAGCTCCAGCTCAGAGAAGTCGGCAGCGTTTTTGCACACTGTTGACAAATGGTTTCAGCTGTGCATAATACAGGTGGTTTTTGTGGAGAACAGCTTTTAAAACCCATCACAAAAAGACGGTTTTAATGCCGTTAATGCAGTAGTTGGTTTTCGGTCCTTTACACTCAGATTTCTGTAGATTTTCTGAATCTTTTGAAGATTATTATGCACCATAGAGGGTGAATTACCTAAAACACTTGCAATCGCTCATTAAGGAATGTTGTTCCTAAACTGCTGGATTATTTGCTGAGCAGTTCTTGCTTATAAACTACTAGGCCTATTCTAGATGCTCATTTTGTACACAATCATGATTGCATAATATTTTTTAAACACTTCACAACATTCCTAGTGTAAAATTGTGTCAACTTTGTTGGAATGTGTTGCAGGCCTCAATTTCTAGAATCAACATAATAAACAAACAGTGAAGCTGATAAGCTAAAACATTATAGATCTTCGTAGTGTTTGGGGTTAAATACAGGTCAGGTCAGTATTGTCTGATTATATTTGCATTTCACAGACAGTCCCGACATTTCTGAATTGAGGTCTGCATTACATTATGTCCATCTCATTCCGCTGGTGTAATTGGTTATTGTGGCCACACAGCGTAAATATTAAGCAACCCCTCATTAGCATTCTTTTCTACCTGTCCTACTTTTCCATCTATCGTGCACTGTTCTGTAAGCCCCCCCCCACCTCCCTCCCCCTCCCCCTCTGCTCTCACCGGGTAATGCTGGATAATGGTACAGGCCTGTCACACCGAAAAGGGGAGGGTCCTGCTGTGTTCATAATGCGCGCTGTATTTCAGTGCTCTCATCTCTTTCTCTCTCCACAGCACAAACACGCATCCTCATTCTCCTCTCTGCCCGATCTCTCGGCACCTTATCGTCTTCCACCATGTCCCGTGTGAAGTCTCAAGCCCCAGGTAAGATGATTCCGGGTCTGCTCAGTGGGCCGCCATCTGTCTCTGTTGTTTAGTGCAGCTGCATTTGTTGTGTGTGCAGTTGTCACTTTATATTTGGGCTTTAATTTTTCATTAACAACTGGATACGCTCGATGGTTTATTTATTGGCTTTTCGGACTACGTAGACCCTGACTGATTCCGTGAGGCTGCAGTGTCGCCAATGCTGCGTGTGCTGTTGGTGTGCAAAGGCTGTGTAAAGGCTGCTGCTGAGTCAATAATAAAGCTTAAGCTTTTGAAGCGACAGGAGGTCGTGTTGTAGGGGAACGAGCTGGCAGTTATGCGGAGCATTGTTGGGGTTAAAATGGGTTTGACAGCTAAGTACATGCAAAGCACCAGAAACCAATCTGAAAATTCCTTTAAGCTAGTTAGTGTTGTCAGTGTAGATCAACTGACATCAAAAAAGGGATGCACTGAATTTACAGGGGTCAAGTGTGAACTACTGTCTGAACCATGAGAACATGTTTGTGGCCAACATCAATAAAAAATCAGAAAACTGATAAGATTGGTTGTATATTTGTATTTTAGATTTCGGTTGTGTGCTCCAATAGTTTTGCTTTAAAAAGTGCTGACAGATATAATAGTCAATTTTCAATTGTCACACATTTTAAACTGTAATAAACAGCAGAAACACATGGTCTTAATATAGGGTAACTTGGGGGGAAGAAGTCCCCAGGGGAAGGTTACCCAACCCCAAATTTTCTCTACAGGGCTGGGTGCACCACTTTTGTCTAAGTTTATCTTACTAAGTCCTTAGTTAACACTGGTTAGTTTACTAAACTATATTTCTAATAAATTTGGTTGCACCATAAATCCTCAAGTTGTTACTTAACTAGTAACAACTAATTAATGCATAAGTCACTTTAACATGACAATGACAGGTTCAGAACCATGTAAACATGCTACCATAGAAATACAATGACAGCTTTTTCCCTGTAAAAATGATCCATATCCAGTATAAGAAAATGATGAAGTTAGAAGAATAATAAGAATAATTATAGCCACTGTCTGTTTATTCTTTACTATTTCTTCATTCCGACCAAATATACATCTTTTTAAAGCAACAGTTTCTGGCTAACTTGAAAAAGTAGTGATGGCTGAATACTGAATACACTGTCATAACAGATTGAGATTATTAGTTTGATCTCAAATGAGCGCAGTAACACTGAGATTAATAATTGTTCACACTGATTTATCAGTCTACTTTTTCCCATATCCTTTAAACAACAGCCTGTGGTGTCTTTCCTCAGTTGGCCACAATAAGCAAATGAATGGCTTCAAAGAGCTGCACGGGCTCCAGTGTATTGCTCCTTTGGTGCGGACAGTGGAGGAGACTCCAGAGCCTATCCCTGCCACAATCAAGGGCACCATCCCTACCTGGATCAAGGGAGGTCTACTCCGCAATGGCCCTGGAAAGTTTGAGTTTGGAAACCAACAGTGAGTAGAGCTAAAAGAGCTTTTAGCCTTTGTTTATTAGTTGACATTTCAGAGTATATACAATAGCTATAGGCCTACTAGTGTGGTGTTACAGGTTTACTTTGAATTAACCAGCCTAAATTTTAAAAATATTCAAGTAACCAAACATATCTACTGTTTTCCAGCTGTTAAATGCAGTTTCACTACAGCAGCTGTTTTTCAGGCTGTTCTGTGCATTTTTTCTTGAGCTTTGTGCGAGTATTGGGACGGTGTTGCCCCCCTTCATTAGTTGGTGCCTAGGAATGTATTACTTTGTACTGTATTACACCCAAAACTTTGTGCCAGTTACTGTAAGTATATATTGGTTATATGGATAATTCTACAATTCTAACCCATTTCAGACTCTTAATTGACTTAGACTTTGGACTAAATCCTTTTTTATGCTTATTTCATTAAAATAAATTACAGAACTTTCTATTTTGTGACTACTAGTACAATATTAATGCCTCTTACCAAATGTTTCAGTAGTGTTAATTTTAGCTAATCTATTAGCCAAATGTATAACCAAAAAATGTTATCCAATAGAAATACAACTTTGAACAGTTGTACACACATAAAATCATAACATGTTACATTACAGCAATGTTACACCCTGATTTTCAGATTATAGGGCACATTTACCTTCAAAACAATTGGATCCAACAGTGTGGCTGTGAGGGACAAGGATGCAGTCTCACTTCCTGCTCTAAAATGCAGGGGTGTGGCTAAAATAAGGCTAAGCCTATAAATTAAAACTTGGGAAGCATGGGACAGCATTTTTAAAAAAAAGTCTAAATAGTTCAACTTCACTTAAAAAGTAATAAAAAAAGGGGTCAGGGTTTAAGAAATACACCTCCCAATAGAAAATATCCTATAAATTATGATTTTAAATATATTTAGCTCAATTAATGCCTTCATTTTAAATAGATCATGATACACCCCTAGTAAATATCTAAGGTCTACATTGTTTATTATTATTATTATTTATTTTTTTTTTTTTGCTATGAGATTAATTTGGTAGAATGATCCATAAATCAGGCACCCTTACTAACCAGTTTACACTATTCCAGGGGAAGCTAGTTGGTTAATTTGATTTAATATATTAACTATATATCATGCATGTTTACTAACTAGTTTACTCCAGATAATCCTCATAGTAATTAACGTCTATCTTTACTACATTACGTTTTCATTTCTCTCTCTCCTCAGCTACAACCACTGGTTTGATGGGATGGCTTTGATGCACCGCTTTCAGATTATGGATGGTCAGGTGACCTACAGGAGCCAGTTCCTACGCAGTGACTCCTACAACCAGAACTCTGAGAGGAATCGCATTATGGTGTCTGAGTTTGGCACGCTGGCCTTCCCTGACCCCTGCAAGAACGTGTTCCTGCGCTTCCTGTCCCGCTTCGAGATGATGAGTGAGTGTCATGGCAAGAGTGTAGGTGGCTTAAAGGAACAGTTTGGCAAAAAAATCTAATTTACTCAATTTACCACTTTTCCTGCATGTAGTCAGTCAGCCAAGACATGTCTGGAGTCCAAATTTGGCTTCTTTAGTTTAGTATTAAAGCTAAGAGGCTAACATTTTACTTTTTAACTTTATCTCTTAATTTACTTTAATGCCAGGTTAATTATGACAATCTGTTAATGACATAACATCTGTGTGCCTGGTGGTGGAATGATGTGGGGGGGGGGCTCAGAGCATCGAAACCCCTGGAGCCTGTGGGGATCTTAATCTGGCCTTGGCTACAGGTGTGGCAGACAGAGACCAGGCTGAAAAGCACTGGCGTATTCCTTTAAAGAATCACTTTTCTAACCTACTCTGTCATAGCCAACACACTGCATTTTTGGTGAGGACACAAGAAATGGCTGAAAAGACACTCAGATTCTCTTTGCCTAGGATTCATAATGTGATTCAGTTCAGATTAAAGCCACATGCTGTTAATTATGGTACAACAAAGTCATGACGGAGTGCAGTAATCTCGCTCGGCACCTCATCCAAGACATCAGAGCTACAACGTTACTGCGGAATGTAAACCTGAACCTTAATTGAAAATGTGCGGGTATGTGGTACCCGTTTGTTGCTAGTTTATTTCAACATAAAGGGCTGCTCTGATATTTTAGCATATGAATCTCACGTTTCATTTGTTAGTCATTTAGTAAGTGCAGTAGGCTCATAGGCACTTCAAAGACACCCAATCCCATTACTTATTTTAACCCCTACCCCTTGTTTTCGAATGTCACCTTGCCCCCTGGAACTGAGTTACAAAGGGTTACTTAATCTTTTGGTCGCTTGTGCAGCCATTGTGCTAGTTTTTTCTTTTTTTCTCATAACACTCCGTTTGGAGGACCATGTAGCCCTAACACTTCACCCTACTCCTCTATCTCAACAAAAATCAGGACACCCACGCAAAACAGAGGGGTGAGGGCTAAGTGATGGGGCAAGGGGTGAAATGGGATTGGGCCTTGGTGTGAACTACTATGAGTCTCTGTAGCACAGCGAGAGCAGGAATCACATTTAAGGCTAATGCACCCAAAGCAAATCTGAGGAGTTCACTTGTGGAGTTGTCAGAGCATCTTGTCAGAGTATTTTGTTTGGCGGGCTGAGCTGTAGTTGAATATCCTCTAAAGCCAGACACTGTGCGATTTTAGAAATCTTATTCTTTAGTGAGTCACACTGCACATTTGAATAGATCACTGTGTACGAATAAAGCCCACAATTTTTAATGCTCCCGCTGGACGAAAATGTTTAGTCCATGCTGCATGAAATGCAGCCCCTACAGACAGTTTTATTCAAAACAACACGCTGCACACAGAGTACTGAGCAAACATACTGAGAAACTGGGCAGCTCTGCTAACACCAAGGTGGTGAGGAACACAGTAAGACAATACAGACTGTCTACAGCCTATTTACAAAGACTGTTTAAAAATATATAAGTTTATACATTATAAAGTCAGTATATACAGACTTTAGTAAGAAATGTTGACTTTTTTTGCCCATGCTTTGTCAGCCTACAAGTCTCCAGCCATATTGGGGAAGCACATTGATTGAGACTAAAATCACACAGAATATTCCTGGTGGCAGTATCCCGAGGCGGAATTAAAGTGACCGACAGCTTTGTATCGAACCTTCACTCCCTCTGTGTGAGCAGACCCTTCTTCACGGAATTGTTTGTTTATTAGCACAGCTGTGTGCACCATGCTTATGTCACATGGCATCAGTGGGTATCGGAATGTTGGTATCAGTGCTTTTTTATGAGGCTGAGTATGAGTAAGTGAGTGAGCACGATACTTGATACCAGTATTGGTATTGGTGCATCCCTGTGCACTGGCTTCTACTACTTCAAAAGCATTTTTCTAAAAAAACATCTCATGCTTCAAACCCTTCAACTGTTTTTGAGAACTTGAGGCTAAATTCTATTAAGTTTCCCGTAGAGAGACTTGTTCCAGCCCCAGTGTTTTCAAAGAACTCTAGTTTTATTTTCATTTCATTTCATCAGTCAGCACAAACTGAGTGAGGATAATGATTACATACTGCTCTCTAATTGGGAGCTGTGAACCTCAATTGCAACTATTTCTGGATGCACAGCTTCTAAAACACTGAATATGTGACTGTCAGGAGGACTTTCGTTATTAAAAAACTAAATAAAATTAGTTTACACTTAATCCTACCAATCTATGCCAGTTATTTCATAGAGAGGAGGTCCTCTTGCAAAATATAGCTTTCATTAAGGGCAAGTCATGGAAGACGAACAAAACCCCACTTTAAGACTTTTAAATAATAAATAATAAAATTGAAAAAGTAAAATTACAATTCATGCAACAGAACTCCTTAAACTCTAAGTACTCCAGTAGCGTTAAATTTTGCTTGTAGCATCTAGGTCAGGTATGTCAAACTGGGGACCTTCCAGGCCAAAGTGCTGCAGAGACTGGAATTCACCCTCTACTAACACTCTAAATTCAGTTCACGAAGGCCTAATCAGCTGATGAGCTGTTTGAGGAGGCCGTGTGCTGAAGCCTGCAGTGTTTTGGCCCATGAGGACTGGAACCTGACACATGTGATCTAGGTGAACTTTAAACTTTAATTTGCAAACCTCAAAAGCATCAGCCAATAGAAAATAAGAGAGTGAGGTGTGTTTTCTTTTTTCTTAAAAATACTGAATGGAGAATCTCTTCCTTAGTGGACATAATGTCGCTTGTCACTTAAAGTTGCAAAAAAACAAACTAGTTAACCAGAACATGTAACTGTTTACTTGAAACTTTACATTCATCTCAAAACTCATGTCACTACCACGTGTACTTTTGTTCCACCCCCACAAAAGAGAATAGCGAGGCAGAAGTCTGGTCTGACCGCAGCTTAATAAGTAAATTCACTGAAAATGAATTTAAGACACAAATTGAGCTAGATACATAACAGCCTGCAAAGAGTCCACACCATGGCAGCTATTTTTGCTGGGGATTGGCCAAGAGGTCATGGGGGTTGCTTAAGCCTCACATGGAGAAGGAGGGAGGAGGTGAGGTATTTCTCCCTTAATTCCCTCTCAAAGCTTCTCCTCCCCTTAATAAACAGCATGTGCTTGCACTGTGCTTTGCACATACATGTAGCTATGCAGAAACACTCCAGCATTTTTCCACCTAACCTCTATCTGCTGCGTCTGCAGCAGAAACACACTCAAAACACAGTTATATCAGAAGACAATAGGCATGTAGGTCACACTTGGTCCCCTATAGATGATCAACAGATATGTAAATTATTAACAAACTTTCTGGTGATAGTTGATTATCAATAACATTATGGTTAGGGTTAGCATTAGGAGTAAGTGTAGGTTTTGGCCTCGGGGTTAGGGTTAAGATTAGGTATAGATTTAATAACTTCAAGTTTAGTTGCATTTAATAGACATTTATTTGAATTTTAGTTAAAGACATTCAAATAAATATCACGACTAATATCAGAATGGGGAAAAAATGTGATCTCAGTGATTTTGACCATTGCATGATTGTTGGTGCCTGAAGGGCTGGTTTGAGTATTTCTACTGCTGATCTCCTGGGATTTTCACACATAACAGTCTCTAGAGTTCACTCAGAATAGTGCAACAAAGAATCAACATCCAGTGAGCAGCAGTTCTGTGGAAGGAAACCCCTTGTTGATAAGAGACCAGACAGGTTTGAGCTGATAGAAAGGCCACAGTAACTTAGATAACCACTCTGTACAATTGAGGTGAGCAGAAAAGCATCTCAGAATGCACAACACATCAAACCTTGAGGTGGATGGGCTACAACAGCAGAAGACCACTTCAGATTCCACTTTTGTCAGCCAAGAACAAAAAGTTGAGGCTGCAGTGGGCACATGCTCACCAAAACTGGACAGTTGAAGACTAAAAAAATATAGTCTGGTCGGATGATTCTCAATTTCTGCTTCTGCACACAGATGGTAGGGTCAGAATTTGGCACCAACAGCATGAATCCAATGACCAAACCTGCCTTGTATCCACAGTCCAGACTGGTGGAGGTGGTGTAATGGGGTGGCGAATGTTTTCTTGGCACACTTTGGGCCCGTTAATACCAATCAATCATCACTTGAATGCTGTAGCCTATTTAAGTAATGTGGTTGCTGACCATGTATCCCTTTATGGCCACAAATTACCATCTTCTAATTGCTACATCCAGCATGATAATACACCATGTCATAAAGTCAAAGTCATTTCAAACTGGTTTCATGAACATGACAATGAGTTCAGTGTTCAATGCTCTCCAGATCTGATTCCAATCGAACACTTTGGGATGTGGTAGGACAGAAGATTCGCAGCATGAAAAAGCACCTAAAAAATCAACATGGAGCAAAATGGAGTTTGCAACATCTTGTAGAATCCATGACACAAATAATTGATGCTGTTTTGCGAGGAAAGGGAGGCTATACCCAGTATTAGTATAGTGTTCCTAATAAAGTGCTCAGTGAGTGTACATATGAAAACATATGTCTTTGGCCATTTTTCTGGGATAAAATGAGAAAAATCCAATTTAGCAAAAATCTTAACTAAGTTTAATTTGAATAAGTGCTCGTTCAGTTTTCACAAGTAAATACAAGTTAAAATTCAAATTATTACATGTTCAAATAAAGATTTAGTTTTAAATTGAAAGAAGTAGCATTACTGACTCAATAGAAAAAAAAAACATGCTAACATATGGTGCCTGTGAGTCCAAAGGCTGAAAAAGTAATTTAAAGTCAGAGGTATCAGGATGGATTTCGTGGGAGTTTTTCAGGTTGCATTATATGTCTTTACAACATAATGCCAACGCACAGGCTCCAGTGACCCGGTGAAATCAATGGCTTGAAATGTCATCCGATATGATCACATGATGTGTTATCTGCATGTTGACTGGCTGTTTCATGTAACTTGTTTCACAAAGTTGAAACGCTTGCAACTGTTGCAGCTGACCTTCAAATGAGTTGCAAGAACCTCAAGTGCAATTTAGCTTCATGTAGGTTTCAAGCAACTAATGTTGCATAAAAGTTTCACCGTGTAAAACCAGCCTTCTATGTTCAAATATTATTTAGTACTAGTACAATTTGAATTTTGTCATGTTAGAATTCAATTTATACCATGACATGCAAATTTCTCACTTTTATGCTATCATAAAAACTGTGGAGTAGAAGCTAAGATGGCTAGTCATAAGTGAATTGCCCAATCGGACAAAGAACAGAGAAATACTACAATGACCATAAATTAATGATGTTATTTGGCTAATTTGCCAATTCTCACCCCTTCACAGAGCCTACAGACAATGCAAGCGTGAGCTTCATCAAATACAAGGGCGACTACTATGTCAGCACAGAGACAAACTTTATGCATAAAGTGGACCCGGAGACTCTGGAAACAAAACAGAAGGTATGTACTACTGACTTCACTCTTTTTTTTTGTAAAGGCACAAAAATCTTTAGACGTCTGGTTCCTATCCCCACCACTGTGACCAATTCAATACTCTTTCCACTCTGATCAAATCTGTTCATTAAAGGTGGACTGGAGCAAATTCATTGCAGTCAACGGGGCCACTGCCCACCCCCACATTGACCCAGATGGTACAGCCTACAACATGGGCAACTCTTATGGTAGCAAAGGTCCGCATGTACATTCACATTTACTATGTATACATTATCACCAAGCTATTCTATGATCACACTGTGGTCATGCATTCTTCGCTTTAAAGAGCGTTCGGCTGGTCTGCTCTGTGTGTTCGGCAGGAGCTTTGTACAACATTATCAGTGTGCCTCCAGCCAAAGAAGGCCCAGATGACACCCTGAAAGGGGCAAAGGTGCTGTGCTCCATCATCCCCACTGACAGAACAAGACCCTCCTACTACCACAGCTTCGGTATCCATGCTAAACTAGCATTCTTTTCAGTGACTTAGACATTTATCATCCACCCAGTCTGACACATAGTTAACTGCAGTTTCTAAGTTTCGTTTTTGTTTTCTGTACACTTTACATCTTTTATCATTTTTATCAACTCAAGGAATTTTCATTATTTCAGCCTTTTAAGGCTAAATGTACTTATTGATACTTAGTGAATGGCTTAGTGCTCCACTGCTGCTCTCTTCAGTGGCCAGAACTGATTAGCTTAAACACACAAAAATTAATTAAAATTATTAAAACATTTTTCACAGAATAAATTATTATAAAATCATTTGTTTATGTGGCATTTAAGGTCAGTTCATTTGCATTTTCATCAGTTTTCTTTTCATCAAATATATTTATTTCCACTTTCCTGGTGGCTCATATACTCTCAGAAAAAAAGGAATGAATGTATCACTGGGGCAGTAGCCCTGTTGTCACTGGGGTGGTTCCCTCAAGGGTACATCTCAGTCAATTTAGTCAGGGAACACAATTGTATTACAATCCATTGAAATTCTATTTTCTAAGCTGTATTCCGCTGACTCCACACACCCCGTCTCGTCCCCAGCCTTTTTATTTTATTGTTCTGTTTTAAAACATTAGGTTATGAAAAGGTACACCTGGAAAAACGTATTTAAGGTTCACAACTGAGCCTTCAAACCACTGTTGTACCTTTGAGGGAACATTGTTTGTACCTTGATGAACAAAAAATGTACCTGCACAGCACCTTTATTTATAACAGTGTACAGTACTGTGCGAAAGTCAGAGACAACCCTTCATTTAGTCCATGAGAGATTGCAAGTATTTTAGGTATGTCACCCTCTACGTTGCATTCAGGAAATCCAGAGAAACACCTGAGAAACTTTTTAGGCCTGAAGTAAGAGTGGAGTAAAAGTAAGGTAAAAGCTTTAAGTGCTGTTTATCTGATAGTGACCATTTCCCTTATTTATGCAAGTGGATTATCACATACCTAATCTTTTTATATCCAATAAAATTAATAACTTGTACTGAATGAAGTATTTAATGACTAATAATTTGAATATTAGTGAATTTTCTCAAATCAGATAACTCAAATGTTCATATAGGCTATTTTTATTGTGAGCGCCTGCATTTGCCCAATTTTAATCTTTGATTTCAAGTAATGAACGTTGAAAGAATTTGTATGGTGGCAACACTTACTGGTGTAATGTCCTTGTTTTTTCCCTGCCAGCCATGTCAGAGAACTATGTGGTGTTCATCGAGCAGCCCATAAAGATGGATCTGTTAAAGATAGTGACGTGTAAGCTGAGGGGGAAAAACTTAAGCGACGGCATCTACTGGGACCCCAACCAGGAGACTGTCTTCCACCTTGTCAACAAGCAAACTGGCATGGTAACAATAAAGCGCCTGCTGGGGGCTCATGGGGGGGTTAGCGCTCCTGGCGGATTGAAATCAGGCCATGGAGGATAAACTGAAGTTATATTCAAGTTGTGTAACAGTGCTTCAGAGAACTGGCCTTCTAAGGTCCTGAGTATCACGGTTTTAAGTTATTTTGGACTGGCAGAGATTTTACCGAATTACTGTTAGATCTTGCTGATCTGTGGAATAAACAGAAGCTGCTTGTTTCCCTTTGCTGTTTTCTAGGTGAGTCCAGTGAAGTATCACACCAAGCCTCTGTCCACCTTCCACCAGATTAATGCTTTTGAGGAGGGCGGCTTGCTCATGGTGGACATGTGCTGCTCGGATGACGGCCAGGCCATCAACAACTTCCTCATTCAGAACTTACGCAAGTCTGGAGAGGCACTGGACAAGGTTCTTTAATGCTTGCTCTTTTCCCCTCTCACTCACTTTCTTCATCTGTCACTTGCCATTTCTTTCTCTTTGGGCACAACCCCATATTCCATTGCTTCATAATTGCAGTAATTGCAGTTGGGATTGCGATAAGACATGCAATATATAATGCCACATTGTTAGACAGTATATTTCATAGTTCCAAATATTGCTTGTGCTTTTTTTAAGCCATGTGAATTCTTCAACACATATGTATAGAACAGAAAACTTTGTGTGGAGCCAATGTTTCATAAGCAATTTGTGACAATAATTAGCCAATAATATTCTCTGCAGCAGCTCCAGTGCATAGCATTTGAGATAACACTGTCATTGTGCCATTCTATTCCATTCTATCTGTGACTGCCGTATTTCGTGATTATGACCAAAATATCTGGTCAGTGAACAGAAGTGTCACTCATAACTGTTTTAGCTAGGTTAAGGAACATGTGGTTACTTGTTAAGCCCAGCTTAAAATTTGGTGCGGGCAGTGAGTCCGGCACCAGCTGCGCCTTGTAAAGGTTCGTTATAATTGACAGACACTGATGTTTACTACTAACTATTGTGAATTTCTCAGGTGTATAACAGCTTGGCCAGGACGTTTCCTCGCCGCTTTGTCCTGCCTCTCAACATCACTAGCGACACTCCACTAGACCAGAATCTCAACACACGGCCCAACAGTTCCGCCACCGCTGTCTGCCACAGCAAAGACAAGGTAAATTACAGAATACAGATTATGTTTGCAGTAATGTACTCTTAGTTGTAACCTAGTGTGGCATTACAAGTCTTTGAGTGTGTGTATAGCTGGCCCACTGTAAAATGGATTAAATGCCAATCACTCTCTTTCATACCAATTATAACTGTGAGCTTTCAGCATTTTTCCAAATATATAAGTTCAATTTAAAGAGTCTTTTATTATATACTTGTAATTGTAATAGTCAAATAACTATTAATGTTTATAATCATGTTTACTAAATGTGATAGTGTGCTAAAAATAATAAAATAATAACCAATTAATAACTGTATTATAATAACTGTTATTACTATAACTGAACAACAGTAACAACCTATTTCATTCTTCAAAATGAAACCACACCAATTCTGTCTGCTGTGTGTACCATCTCTAGCATCGTTAGCGGTGTTGCTGACCATTACCACTGGTGTAGGTTTGTTTACATTAAACTGTAATTTTTTTTTTTTTACATTTATTGAATGTAACATAATAATTGCCTTTTCCACAGCATATCTTTACTACTAAAACAAAATTTTCAATGTTGAGAATCATGTTGAAAGGGACTTTAATGCAGTTGAACCTCAGTGCTATCATGCTATTGCATCCATTTCCAATTCTGCTTTCCTTTTCAGGTGTTCTGCACGTTTGAGGATCTCCATGGTGATGACCTGCTGGATTATGGTGGTTTGGAGTTCCCCCATATTCATTATAACAGGTTCAACACCAAACCGTATCGCTACTTCTATGGCTGCGGCTTCCGCCACCTGGTGGGAGACTCGTTGATCAAGATGGACCTGGATGGTAAAAAGCTCAAGGTCAGCTCATGCTTCTGAATCAGGCTGGTGAACTGATCTATGTAACCTAATGAGAAACTTGCCAAAATACATTTATTTTTAATGTGTTATTAATTTTGAATGATATTTATTGCTGTATAGACATTATCCAGATAAGGGCTTTTAGCTTCCCCTTTTCAGAAGCCAAACAAGGAAAAATGTCCGTTATGGATAAAGCCAGTAGCTATAGGTGTAGGCTAAAACAGAGAACTTCTTGTTTAGCCAATCAGATCCTCAAAAACCTCAATTACACAACATAAAACTACACCCACGTCCTTACAGTGCGATTTTCCACATAAATAAATTTCATTTAAAATGAGTAACAGTCAAAATTGAGATGTTATGCGAAAAAAACTGAGTTGTGCTTTACAGATTCCCATAAAGTTCAATGGTGTATTTGAACAAAGTACAAAATAATGTATTTGTGGGCAGAGCATGGTTTGGGCTGATTGTTTACATTGGCTGCACTGTTCCATGAAGGAAACAGTGTAATAACTGAACCATTATAATTCTTGATCTGTGTTTGATTGACAGGTGTGGTATCAGCCAGGACTGTACCCATCTGAACCTGTGTTTGTGCCCTCACCTGATGCCAAGGAAGAGGACGATGGGGTCATCTTGTCTGTCATCCTCACACCCACTGAGGTATTACACTGATAACGCAGTACACAATACACAAAACAATACCTAAATTAGTTGCATTAAGCAAAATATCTTTAACCAGAATTCCATCAAAAGGGTTCAAACAGTCAACAGTTATCACCTGTATGAATAGCGTTTTCTAAAGGTGCTCATAGCCCCGCCCTTTGGTTTTTAGGATAAGAGCACGTTCCTCTTGGTTCTGGACGCCAGGACGTTCGAGGAGCTGGGAAGAGCCGAGGTGCCCGTCAACATTCCATATGGCTTCCACGGAACCTTTGACTCCGCAGAGAACTAAGTAGAAGTAGTATTATCACCACAATAAGCCTGCGATGACCACATGCTGCCTTGACAGTGGCTACATTAGCCCAGCACTGGACTGTTTATTATGGTTGAAGATGCTCCTCACTGCTTCAATACTTCAGAAAACCCATGCCAAAGATTTGCACAATCGGAACACAGCACAGTGGCAGGAATAAGGGATCATCATGAAGGTCAGGGTGTAATTCAAACAGACGAGGGAGGAGACGAAGGAGAAGGGAATGCAATATATTTTATGTTACTTATTCAACATTGTTTTATATGAGATTGTGCCAAATGCATCTTGTTTTACTGTGTCACACTGAAACCACTGTTTAAGCACTAAACTTTTTTAACCACTGAGCCTTGATCAGGAGAAGACACATTTGTTAAATATTCACACATAACTCATTAATACATTAGCATTAATGTATATATTTTTAAATAAGGAAATCATGTTTAACTGCTTTATTCATATATTTGCCATTTCTTTCCATTTTATAAGCACTGTATGCCTGAAAAAATGTTGTCCTCCAGGCTATGTGCAGTATTTAGTTATATTTAACCATTATAAAATGTTTCTCACTAAATTTGATGTCATACTTTAAAGGCCACTGCACACCACACATCCAAGTATTCATCCCAAAATTCAAAACCATTGTTTTTCAAGGAGGTACGCACACCAGCTCTGACACAGCGCATCAATGCGCACCGCTGCTTCGTGACTCCAAGCACTGTTCAATTTCTCAGCACGTCACAGCGCCATGCAACATTTTGCCTTTACCATTTTACATTAAAGCTCTATCAAGACTACAGAAAGCCCTAGTAGATCACATTTGGCTTGAAATTTACACAAAGAATGGCAGTCAATCTTTTAGACAGACAAATGCTAATGGTAAGTTACCTAGCCTAGCATTTTTCAGTATCTTTTAGCTCAAAAACAGCCGGTTTGTGCAGAGGTAGTAAACTGATGCCAAGCGTGATAAGAGACACTGAACGCTTTACTTCATTGTATTTCATTGTATTGTAACTGGCTATTATTGACACGCCCTGTCAGCTTTCTATAGCACTCTGCAGCATGTCCAGTGTGCAGTTGCCTTAAAAAGACATTTATTAAACACATAACTTTATTGAAAGGTCTAAATAATTTAACAAAGACACTTGTCCTTCAGTTCAATGTCATTGGTGTTACTGGGCCAACTTTAACATCCTCCAAATTCCAAATAAAGTTCTTTACAGGGTATTCAGAAGTACATGGTATGTTCACTAATGCTTTTGCAAGGTTGTAAACTTTTGCTTTATTTCTATTTCTATAGAAATATTTCTATTTTCCATGTGAGGCCTTTAGATTTGTCATTGCTGTTAGTCATATTACACATGAAAAAAAGATTTTTATTCAAGTAAATGATTAATTGACATCACTTGTTGATATCTGTGTGATTGATGAGGTGTGACTGAAGAGACTCTTGAGAAAAAACATCTTAATTTTTTTTACTGTTGTAACAGGTTTTGCTTTTGATTGGCATAAAATAAGGTTTAATGTCATTAGATTTACACGGTGTTATACGATGGAATTATGCATTAAATATTGGTTTTATTTAATAAGAAACATTTCAAGATCTCAGTAATAACTTTGTTGTGATGACGTATCACTTGTCATAACATCATTAACCAGTTTTAAACTGTTATCTGTGCAATTTACAAGGTCAAGAAGATAAAAGCCTGAAAAATGTTGCTCATGCATGGTTTAATTGAATATTTTAAAATTACAAAAAATAAATTAAAAATAAATGGGAGATTACAAAAGAAGTGAAATTTGGGGCATTTTCTAAACCAGAAAGCCATCCTAATCTGAGAATGACTCATAGCCAATAATTTATATATGTGTTCCAGCAAACTGTACCAGTTTTGTGCAACATAAAGCATGACATACACTATATGGACATAAGTATTGGGACACCTACACCTACAGGAGTTTTTATGACATCCCATTCTAAATCCACAGGCATCAATATGGAGTTGGTCCCCCTTTGCAGCTATAAGAGCTTTCACTCTTGTGAGAAGCTTTCTACAAGATTTTGGAGTGTGTCTGTGGGAATTTTTGCCCATTCATCCAGAAAAGCACTTGTGAGGTCAGACACTGAGGTTGGATGAGAGGGCCTGGCTCACAATTTCTGGTCTAGGTTATTCCAAAGATGTTTGATGGGGTTGAGGTCAGGGCTTTATGTGGGCCAGTTCTTCCACACCAAACTCATCCAGTCATGCCTTTATGGACCTTGCTTTGTGCACTGGGGCTCAGTCATGCTGGAACAGAAAAGGGTCTTCCCCAAACTGTTCCCACAACGTTGGACGCATACAATTGTCCTAAAGGTCTTGGTCTGCTGAAGTATTAAGATTTCCCTTCAGTGGAACTAAGGGTCCTAGGCCAACCCCTGAAAAAAGGCCCCTAAGCATTATCCCTCCTCCACCAAACTTTACAGTTGGCACAATGCAGTCAGGCAGGCAATGTTCTCCTGGCATTCCCCAAACCCAGACTCGTCCATCAGACTGCCAGATAGAGAAGAGTGATTCATCACTCCACAGAATGTTTCCATTGCTCACAGAGTCCAGTGGCAGCGTGCTTCACACCACTCCATCTGATGCTTGGCACTGTGCCTGGTGAAGTAAGCTGGCATGCAGCTGCTCAGTCATGGAAACTCATGCCTTGAAGCTCATGGTTTTTGTGCATGGTCTGACACTGTGTGGCTGAGTTGCGGTGGTTCCTAAACACTTCCACTTCTCAATAATACCACTCACAGCTAATTATGGAATATCCAGGAGGGAAGAAATTTCATGAACTGAGTTGTATCAGTGGCATCATATTACAGTATCACACTCAAATTCAGTGAGCTCTTTAGAACTTCTTTCACAAATGTTTGTAAAGGCAGACTGCATGGCTAGTTGCTTGATTTTATACACCTGTGGCAATGGGACTGAATGAAACACCTGAATTGAATTATTAAGAGGTGTGTCCCAATACTTTTCTCCATATAGTGTATTTTAAGCCACTAATGCAATCTAAAAACATTTCAGTATTATAGTTTTATAATTCACTGTTCAATATTGGCAGTTTTGTATTACCTCTTGACATTTTGTACAAATTTGCATCTTATTGCATGAGGTTGGAAATGATAAAAAGCAAACTGCTAAGATGCAGTGGAAGCAGATAATATATATAACATACAGTGCTGTGCAAAAGCCTAAAGCACTTAAGCCTATAGTTTAAGTCCATCTATTATCTTACCAGTAAGTGTTTTTTGACCAGTAAAACGCTGTATAACATTAGAATGAAATAAACATAAATACGGTAAAATGTAACAGGAATTTCTCGTTTGCAAGAAAACAAGTAATAACCAAGATAAAGCAGTGCCGGCTGTACCTAATAAGCAACATAAGCAGCTTCTGAGGGCCCTGTGGCCACCTGCGGGACATCTAACAACTTCTGGGTTATTATTGCACCATAATGTTGTGCAAGATGCCCCATTGATGGGGAAAAAACGGCTGGTTCTTGATGTCTAAAAAAAGAATGTATGCATCTGGAGCCAAGCTAAGATAAAGCAGTGATTATTCCTCATGTGCGCGCATAAGATGATGACATTTATGATGGACAGCCAATTGTGTGAAACATAAGGAGAAGTCGAGCAAAGTGGGAAAAAGAAATGAAGGGTTTCCCCAAATGCACTGTAGACCACTTCCAAGAATTTTCTATTTTTAGAGTATATATGTTGTTGGGAGAGGGCGTTACACATTCAAGAAATATCAGTGCTTAATAATAATTAATACGATTTTTATACTATTAGATAAAATGCTGTTATACTTACAAAAAATGTGCCATATCTAAATGCATATGCAGCATTTTGAAATGTATCTCTTCATATGTAGGAAGTGAAGCACTTATAACAGTAAAGAAGCAGTGCTGTCATCACTGCCACCAGCGTTAATCTAACTAAGCTTAAGTTTAGCTGAGTATACAACAAATACTGTGTTGTGAGAGAGAACTCTGGATCAAGAATGCTGAGAAGGTTATCTGTGATTTAAATTGTAATCCAATCATCAAATGAATTAGCCAGTTATAAACATGCTTTTAGACATTACACATAATTTTACAGCATGTTGCAAGACGGGATCCCCCAAATAAATTCTGCATAGGGCCGCAAAAAGCTAGAGCTGGCCCTGAGAGAAAGATAAACATGTTGTATAAAGATATATGTGGTGTAGTTTGAGTTTGGAGTACAGTCTTTTGCCAGATATGTGCTGTAGACCTGAATTCTGTTAACAGTAATACAAAAGGAACATGTGATGTATTCTCTAGCCCTGATTCTGTGCAATCTCAACACATCTTCCTCATCTGTTTCTGGATGACGACACTTGTCTGTAGGTGTGCCAACATGTAAAAGTAATAGAACCGTCATGGGTGATGATGCAGTGACTTAATCATCGGTTCAGTGCAGTTAGCCACATTATTTCCAAGAGTTGATGTGAGATGCAGTAACTGAGAAACAAGAAGAAAGAAATAAGTTTGCATTTTACAGCTCCAATAGCATTTATACCACTGTAATTACAGTCTATCACTGTGTCTGTACAGCACGCTGCATCTGACCATTCACAGACATACCAGGCAAGAAATAAAAAACTGTAGAAAAAACTGAAACAGTATTTACAGGACTAATTTTAGTAAAACAACAATTAAATACAATCACTAATTTAATAGTATTACTCATGTTTCACTTCTACTGTAATAGTTGCTAAGTAATTATTTTGTATCAACTGGAAAATTAACATTTGTTACCATTACATTTTTATTATTAACTAATTATTACGGAGCCCTGCTGGTGATATCCCGTATAAATTAAAATAATATGTGGGGACATGACTTAGTAAGGAGTGGGAACAAGATAAGTTGTGGCCACAACTTAGTAAGGCATGGGAACGAGATCCGAATGCATGGCCACCTCATGGCATGGGAATGAGACAATTAAGCCTTGGTCACAGCTTAATAAGGCATGATCTCGTTCCCACACCTTACTAAGGCATGGCCACGACTCAATTAACTTGGTCCCATGCCTTACTAAGTGGTCTTGTCTCATTAGGATCTCGTTCCCACACGTTAATACAGCATGACCACATATTCTTTTTATTTCTATGGGATGTCACTAGCAGGGCTCCATAAATTACCACTACAATTATTTATTGTAATTGTAGTGGTAATGTATTATTATTAGTAGTAGTAATTATTGAATAGCTTATATTCAGTAACAGCTAGAAAAAGCATGTAGTTTAAGTGCAACTTACTCACTCTATTATTACCTTATCATTACCTGTTTATTACCAATCTATTACTGCTTTTTCTATAGCAATTGTTCAAGCTGTACAAGTGAAACTAAAAAACCTTTGTCAGCAATGAGATCACCTTAAAGCGGTTGAAATCACTGATTTAGACGGAGTGTCTGTATACTTTTGAACATTTATCAGCTAGCAATGGGAGCACATAACACAGTGCCATCTGCTGGTGGATCTGAATTTCTAACTCCAAACTATGTAAAGACGTTACCATCTTTGATTAAAATGTGACATGCTAAAATGGGCAGTGTTTATAAGTGCATGTTCATGTTCTAACACGCTCCATATGAACAGATGATATGAAACAATCTGAAGGAATAACATTTGTTTGTAGAAAACAAACCAGTAATGTAAAGTCGAACATACTGCAGTTTCTGCTCTTGTCCACTAGGCGGCAGTAGGCGCTTGCAGCAGCTGGACACTTTGGTGAGGTTTACCCACAATGGATAAAATATGGATACTACAGGACATGCCACCTTTACATACTTGTACTAAATTGGCATTTATTTAGTTCTGTTAGGTATTATGTGTGTGTAAATGTGAGCATTCCCAGCTCTGCTTTATTGACGAGAGCTCTCAGGTTTCTGCTAATCCCCACACATTAAACAGCACTGAGAAAGGCAGAGCAAGATACATCCAATAGCAGCACTCTGGGAATGTGAATGCTTTGGGTTTAAAAGTGTGTGTGTACATTTTTACCTTTGCAAAGACCAAAATTACATCCTTTT